TTTATTTATTTTCTTAAGAACGACTTCCAAAATATAGTGAAAGAGCCCATTGATTGGTTTAATAAGAAAGTTATTCCATTATTTTTTCAAGTTTTTTGACGCTCCACAACTTTCATTTGAACTTTTTTTCTATTTCTTACCGTTTCTCCGAAATTTCGCAAAAATAATTTTACTTATTTATTTCATCCCTTCTCGGGGGTGAATTTAAAAAACCTTTCACTATTTGTTTTTAGATTTTTCAAAGTAACTTAAATATCAAAATTCAAGTTTTACCAAACTTCACATTTAAAGGCCTATTTTCTTGGACTAAAACCTCCAGTAGAAATTTTAGGATTCGAAAAGGCATCATCTGATAGCCTTACGCAGGTTAGCATGGTGGCCCGGCGGTGTTGCCCTTTCAACATGCCAGGTGTGACGTATTAAAAATAAAGTGCGGATTTTTATTCTGGGCTTTTTGTTTTTATTTATTTTCTTAAGAACGACTTCCAAAATATAGTGAAAGAGCCCATTGATTGGTTTAATAAGAAAGTTATTCCATTATTTTTCAAGTTTTTTTTGACGCTCCACAACTTTCATTTGAACTTTTTTCTATTTCTTACCGTTTCTCCGAAATTTCGCAAAAATAATTTTACTTATTTATTTCATCCCTTCTCGGGGTGAATTTAAAAAACCTTTCACTATTTGTTTTAGATTTTTCAAAGTAACTTAAATATCAAAAATTCAAGTTTTTACCAAAACTTCACATTTAAAGGCCTATTTTCTTGGACTAAAACCTCCAGTAGAAATTTTAGGATTCGAAAAGGCATCATCTGATAGCCTTACGCAGGTTAGCATGGTGGCCCGGCGGTGTTGCCCCTTTCAACATGCCAGGTGTGACGTATTAAAAATAAAGTGCGGATTTTTATTCTGGGCTTTTTGTTTTTATTTATTTTCTTAAGAACGACTTCCAAAATATAGTGAAAGAGCCCATTGATTGGTTTAATAAGAAAGTTATTCCATTATTTTTCAAGTTTTTTTGACGCTCCACAACTTTCATTTGAACTTTTTTCTATTTCTTACCGTTTCTCCGAAATTTCGCAAAAATAATTTTACTTATTTATTTCATCCCTTCTCGGGGGTGAATTTAAAAAACCTTTCACTATTTGTTTTTAGATTTTTCAAAGTAACTTAAATATCAAAAATTCAAGTTTTTACCAAAACTTCACATTTAAAGGCCTATTTTCTTGGACTAAAACCTCCAGTAGAAATTTTAGGATTCGAAAAGGCATCATCTGATAGCCTTACGCAGGTTAGCATGGTGGCCCGGCGGTGTTGCCGCTTTTCAACATGCCAGGTGTGACGTATTAAAAATAAAGTGCGGATTTTTATTCTGGGCTTTTTTGTTTTTATTTATTTTCTTAAGAACGACTTCCAAAATATAGTGAAAGAGCCCATTGATTGGTTTAATAAGAAAGTTATTCCATTATTTTTCAAGTTTTTTTGACGCTCCACAACTTTCATTTGAACTTTTTTTCTATTTCTTACCGTTTCTCCGAAATTTCGCAAAATAATTTTACTTATTTATTTCATCCCTTCTCGGGGGTGAATTTAAAAAACCTTTCACTATTTGTTTTTAGATTTTTCAAAGTAACTTAAATATCAAAATTCAAGTTTTTACCAAAACTTCACATTTAAAGGCCTATTTTCTTGGACTAAAACCTCCAGTAGAAATTTTAGGATTCGAAAAAGCATCATCTGATAGCCTTACGCAGGTTAGCATGGTGGCCCGGCGGTGTTGCCCTTTTCAACATGCCAGGTGTGACGTATTAAAAAATAAAGTGCGGATTTTTATTCTGGGCTTTTTGTTTTTATTTATTTTCTTAAGAACGACTTCCAAAATATAGTGAAAGAGCCCATTGATTGGTTTAATAAGAAAGTTATTCCATTATTTTTCAAGTTTTTTGACGCTCCACAACTTTCATTTGAACTTTTTTCTATTTCTTACCGTTTCTCCGAAATTTCGCAAAAATAATTTTACTTATTTATTTCATCCCTTCTCGGGGTGAATTTAAAAACCTTTCACTATTTGTTTTAGATTTTTCAAAGTAACTTAAATATAAAAATTCAAGTTTTTACCAAAACTTCACATTTAAAGGCCTATTTTCTTGGACTAAAACCTCCAGTAGAAATTTTAGGATTCGAAAAGGCATCATCTGATAGCCTTACGCAGGTTAGCATGGTGGCCCGGCGGTGTTGCCCCTTTTCAACATGCCAGGTGTGACGTATTAAAAATAAAGTGCCGATTTTTATTCTGGGCATTTTTGTTTTTATTTATTTTCTAAAGAACGACTTCAAGTTTTTCGAAAGCGAGATAGCAGAAAATTAATGCTTTATTCAATTATGCGAATTCCAAAATATAGTGAAAGAGCCCATTGATTGGTTTAATAAGAAAGTTATTCCATTATTTTTCAAGTTTTTTTGACGCTCCACAACTTTCATTTGAACTTTTTTTCTATTTCTTACCGTTTCTCCGAAATTTCGCAAAAATAATTTTACTTATTTATTTCATCCCTTCTCGGGGCTGAATTTAAAAAAAACCTTTCACTATTTGTTTTTAGATCTTCCAAAGTAACTTAAATATCAAAAATTCAAGTTTTTACCAAAACTTCACATTTAAAGGCCTATTTTCTTGGACTAAAACTTCCAGTAGAAATTATACTTTGAAGATAACGTATGATTGAAAAAAAACGGTGTTAAATAGCCTTAGAAAATTTCAATTATAAAATGACCGTTTGATGGTTATTTCTAAGATAATTCGACGCCGCACAGTGGGCCAGGAAGTAACTAGGAGTTTGACTAATTCAATTTCTTTTTGTATGTCAACAACTTTTATCTAAATATGTATTAAAAAATGAATAAATACAATTTTTACGAACATCGGACTTTAATAAACTATAATTGTTGCTATACAGGGTACTCCCTAAATACCCTATGCAGGGTATAACTTTATTAACAAAATGAAAGGCGCGAATCCTCACTTAATTTTAAAATGAAGATGTAGGATAACATTTTTTCAATTTCTCTTCTGTTTTGGTATACAGAGTGTCAATGATAACTAATTAAATGGATTTGTATATAATCAGAGAATATGTAACAGAGAGTTTTTTTCTTGAAGATGAGGCAAGGTGCTAAAAAGTTAAGAGGCAATAAATTTCACGGCTAACCGAAAAGGCCAACCACAAAGTTAACTTATTTTTAATAAATAGATCCAGCTATTCAGAATCACTGCTACTGTCATTATTGTCGTTGAAAGATGATGGATGTGGATCAAATGATTTTAGTAAATTTAGAGCTTCGGGAACAAGCTTTTTCTTTTGGATAACTTAAGTTTTCTTAAACTTGTAATTAGTGGATTAGAAGAAATTAATAAATTATGAAATACATCTGTATTAGTCTCGATTCTGCTCATTTTTCTTGAATGACATTCCCTGTATCGTCTGTACTCCTTATTTCGAGCTTCTTGAGCTTCCTCCGATAATTGTCCGATGGGTACAGGAGACGATTTTATGATATCTCCCCCATGAATAAGAATTTTATGTATAGTGACAGGCATTTTGTACCACGGATAAAGAAATACAAATTGCTTGCCAGTTTCTAAGGCGTATGATTTAAAATTATTAATGTCAATGCTGAATCCGCTGGTAATAACTTGTAGGATCACAAAGAATCGATATATTAAATTTTGATCCAAACCTGTTATTTCGGCAGATATTGTATAATTTTGGAAAAATTTGCGCGCGGTATTACCGTCATTACTTGTACCAACACCTTGTTTCACTACATCTACAATTATGCCTAAACGATTTCTAAACTCTTTTTGAATTCTTTGCTTTTCGTTTTGGGTTCGGTTACTCGGTTTGAATTATTTAAAAATTATTTTTTTAAAATGGAGCAGCTGGGAGCAAGATTTTGTTTTGCAGAAAACATTATAAGATGTTTCTTAAATACACGGTAGTAACGGTAGCCCTAAAGGATGCTAAAATTTTAACATATTGCTTAATAAAGTTAAAAAAACCTTTATTTGGCAATTTTTTTTTGGTGTTACTTAAAATGTAGGATTTCTTTAGGATAGTTGTGTTTCAGAGTAACCTTATCAGCATAAAATTAATATGAAAACTTACCTTCCCTGGTTTCTTGCATGTTTACTTTCGTAAAAAAACAATTTCTTTGAAAAACAGCTCCAGTTTTAACAGGCAAAATTCTATAAATTGAACAACACAAAATGACGCGTCAACAAACTTAACAAAATTATTGTTGATACTCGCACCATTACAACGGAGCGAGTTCATTTGATTGTTTTCTGATGCTTCATGGTATACTTAATCAGTCTGCGATAAGAAAGAAAAAAATTCGACGAAATAAGTTCTGGGTCCATTTCAATCGCTAAGGCTATCTCTGGCCCACTGTGCGCCGTTTTTTTCCGATCTTGGTTTGAAGATATTCACAATGTAATTTTACAAATAAAATGTTGATGATTGTAATTTCTGAGGTAATTCGACGCCGTTTTTTTTTCGATCTTGGTAGATTTATGCGTCTGGAAACATTTTACTTTAGTATATTAAATATGTATTAATTTTTGATAAGTTTTTATATAATTTTTTTTTAATTTAATGATGTCTAGGGTTTGACCAAACAAAAATATTATACTCTTGTGACACCGTTTTTTTCTCGATCGCATGGTATCCCAACTGGACAATGTAATAAAAAAAGTTATTAAGTGTGTAAAATGTACGCGATAAAAATATAATTGGGACGTTCTCTTTATGATCAAAATGTTTTCAATAATTCGACAGTTGTTTTTTTGAAAAAATTATATTTCAGAAATATATCTGTCAGGACGGAGTAACATTTCTAAGGTCAACATTTTTGGCCTAAAAACAGTGGTTGTATCATATGTTAAGTACTTAACCCAGTCAGTGTAAAAATACTAATATAAGTGAGTATAAAAAAAATTAACTGACCTTTTCATCATGGTCGGATTCTTCATTCGATCCTTGATCCGACCCTGCCTCTTCCACTTCATCTTCTTTGGGCGTGTTCAATTTACGGGCTTGTTTGTCCATTAAACTCGTTCGCGACCTAGTCTTCTTCCAACTGTAGTAATACTTCACCAAACTAGCTATACTCTTATCTGGTAACTAAAAATAACAAAAAAATTTCATCAAAATCGCACTTGTCAGTATGAAAATTACACAACAGTTTTTAGAAAAAATCAAGGTTATATACATTTTTTGATTTTTACTGATTTTTTTGTAAAATTGCTATTTTGTACAGAGTGTCCCACTAAGAATAGCTCTCGGCTGTATCTCGGGAAGTATTAGCTGTAGGGCCTACGGAGAAAAATATTTATAACTAAAGGGGCTATGAGAAATTGCTGGAAATTATTTTCAAGTTTGTAAAACGGCCGCTAGAGGGCGCAACTGCTATGGAAAATAAGAAAATAGAATTTTTACAGAATTTTGCCCAGATAATGGGTACTATAAATAATAGCTTTATAATCTTCAGTAAATTTTGGATTTTTTTTGTTAGAATCATTTCCCCCTATCTGCTAAAATAAAGTGGTGGGGGAAGGTTAGATCTATTTTTATTTAAATGTTAATAAATCCGGACTGGATGATCAGAATTCAATAAACGAGGGCTCGTTTAAAAGAGCGTTTCTTACTCTATACTATACCATAAAAATAATAATAATAAGGTTTTGAACGTAGACGCTAGGGGGCACTTTCTTTCAATTTAACAAACAGCGCGTTTTTTCAAAAAAATTAAATACGATGGTATATGTAATTTTAGCTGATAGTAAAGAGTAGTAAAAGCTTAAAAAGTCAGCGAAAACCGTATTTTGATATCTTCTTTCAAACCGAAGATATTAGCAAAATTATAATAAATACAAAAAATATATCCTTAATTACCTTATTTTTACAACACGGTATCAGTAGCCCTCTTGATTATACCCATTCTAACAAAAAAAATAAGATAGAAACAGTTAGTTTATTTAAAATCGACGAAATAATAGAATACCATAATACCAGATGTATTAATATCTAATAATTAAGATATTAATAACAGTGAAATAGAAACGATGATTCAGTGAAGTCATTTGTCAGTTTCTTTTGAGGTAATAGTATAAACGTCAAATTGTTATTAGATCAACATTTTGATAGTCTTAGCAGCGTATTTTATCTTTTAATTGCTTTTTCAATATGCCTTTATTATTTTAAGTAGTTGAAGTTGTTGACATTTTGAAAAAGCGCAAATAAAAAAAAGCAGAAATAAGTGCAAGTATTTTAAGGGGTGCTAAATCTCGATAAAAGTAACATATTTTCTCTTTATCGTTTTTCAAATAAGTCCAAAATAACGGAGTTATTTTACTTCGAAAATTTCCAAAAAAAAAAGATTTTTTGCTCAAATTTTCAGAACCACTGGATTTTTTCTGGATTTTCTTTCTTGTAAATTTAATCTAAGTACTACCTATGTTGCCTATATTATCAAGAAATTATTTTTTTTAAATAAATATAATTTCAAAAAAAATTTCGAAATTCCGAATTTTAAAAAAAAATTTCGCGATAAAAACCTCATAGAAACGGGGGTGGGGGTGGGGGGGGGGTGTGTGGGTTGAACTATACTACCTACTACACTACACTACACTATCTGCTGATGATGCTAACATGGTTAGCGAAACGCGCGTCCAGTGTAAAAGTAAAAGTGTTTTGGTGTATTGTGGTGATTTAGTGTTTTTATTTGGCTGTGTAACACCAAAGGTTCCAACCCTCAACTGTAATATACTACCAGTTAAAATACTTGTACATACTTATTTCTGGGACACCCTGTATAGTTGAATTTTGTTGAAGTCCTAAAAATCAAAACACGTTTCCATGGTAATATTATTTTTAGGGTTTCATTCTATGACAAATGGTTATTATTAATTTTGATTAACGTCATATTTTTGCTGTTTCAATATGTTAAAGAAGCTCAAAATTTATTTATTTTTTCAACAAAAAAATTAGAGTCGCTTTTGTGGCAGTTAATTTCTCTTTGAAAACAAGCCCCAAACTTGTCATTTTACAAATATTAGCATGTTAGCCTAGCATTTCATTTGCTATGTCATTTTAAGGTGTCATGAGGAGTGTCAACTATATTGATAACAATCAAAACATGCTTGCCGAAAACTTAAAAAAAACACTCAAAAAAACGTTAAAACCAAAAACAATCAGGGGCCCAATTCTGTAAACGAATTTCCTGTCTAGAGACTCATCAATCATATACAAATAGCATAGGCTAGACAGGAAATTTCTTGCTACAGAGCTTACAGAATCCGATTGCAGTTTCGATTTGTTGTTTTTTTTTATTAAAAAATCATGATTTAAATCAAGAATGTGGTTTAAATCAAGGATTTAAATTATTTTAACCCTGTGATATTAGATACCATATAATCGAAAAAAAAAAAAAAAAAAAAAAAAAAAAAAAAAAAGCGTCCAGTTGGCTTGGAAATGACAATTGATGACATTCCCCATGTAAATTTACCAAGCTATTTATGACGCCGTTTTTTTTTCGATTCTACGATAATTCAAATATAGTCAAAAGGAAATGTAACCTTACCATTTGTCGAATTCTGTGAAAGCTTTTACCGTGAAACTGAAAAGCTTGTTCGAACAGGACCTTATCTTCAACTGACCATTCATCGGGAAAGGGGGTAAAATTTGCTAAATCCAACACAGCCCTATCTAAGTCATGTTTATGCCAGAAAAGCATGCCCAGAGCTTGCTCACCGTTATAACCATATTTGTCTTTCGCTAGGACTATGTAATCTTCCACTAGAATAAACAGATTAATATATAATATGCATATTTTAATCAATAATAATGCATAGGAAAATCAATTAAAATTGGCGTGCACTTCATCCAAAAAATGTTTGATTAATGTACTTCACAATGTTGCCATGGCTACTTTATTACTTTGGCTTTCGACAAAACTTATCAAATAAAATTTGTAATTTTGTCACCAATTTTTTACTTCACTTTTAGACAATACGATATACCAATATTTTTATTATATCTATATTTATAACATTATACATAATTACTTTGTCTATGATTATTACATAAACAAATTCAAACTAAATAAAGTTATTAGCAAGTTTTGTGAATAAAATGTAGTTTTAAAGCAAATGTAGTTTTAAAAAATAAAAGCTGAAAAATGTAGTTCTAATTGGTTAACACTAGTCTTCGCTTATTGTGAGATTCTATGCAGTCAGTAAACTGATATTAAGCATCATAGCTGAAACATGCTGAAAGTACTTTCAATGAAAGCTGACATAACAATATCAATGTTTACCTCTCTAACACAGTTTAATGACAAAAGAGATTATGATCCTGTTGAAAATAATTGAGTAGCTACAAGACATGTTGCTGATTCCAACTATTTAGTGGACTTGGCATTTTATTGCAATAAAAATCGTAGATTTAATTTCAAATTTCTCAAAGAAAGCTCCGATTAAAATCAAAAATTACAAATATCAGATTTGCAAAGAAAAATCCGCATGAAAACTGGCAACATTTGCCATGAACTACCAACACAAATTCTTTTTTATCGGCCAACTCATTTACTTGATGCGACAGCATGCTTTGGCTTTTTTTAACCAGGAGATATGATTATAAAAAAAAGGAAATGCATGCTCTAAGATTCAAACGAATTCTTACTAGACATTTTATTTTTGCACGCCAACTTTTATTGATTTGTCTATACTTACATTTGGAATCTGGTATCGAGTCTGTTGGAGACCACACTAACAATGCCCTATCTGCTAGAAGTTCAGGTTTACGTTGAGACTCTGGCTGTAATTCCGGACATATTGCTTGATAATCCCTCCCCACTCGTATCTTATCAACTGGAACTACACATGAAAATAATCAGAAATATATACAAAGGTATTTTTCTGTAAGTTAATGATGCAGTTTGTTTCTTAACAAAGTTAGTTATAAATAAATGAAATATTGATACGTGGTTATAAACAAACGCTACCCACGTAGTAATGAGGTTAAATGGGCCACCCCCAAAATACCTCAAGCATGCTTTATACACCCTTCATGAATATATTCCCCAAAAAACCCTCTTAGAGTAGGATTTGAGTATACTTCATACTGTATTTTAGTTAATAATTCTAAAAACTGACCTGTGCTTTCATCTTCGCTTGTGGAGTCCGCTTGGACATGCCCGTTAGGACTGGGCCCCCTGCTTCTCCGTCCGTTCCTAACGTTTTCGTTATTTTTTTCGGCGAGTACCATGTCGCATGGATCTGTTAAAAGCTCTGCGGAATAGCCCAAAATAAAACTAAGTTCGAATTTTACCTAATTTATGAATCACCACTCGACAAATTTCTATGGACACCGCACTAGGGATAAATATGACAGGAGCCTAACAAAATGGACGATCGACTAAAGTTTACGTCATCGAACAACCGTAGTTTCTCGCGAGCTTTGAAAAATGCTCGAGAGAGGCGCTGACGGAATTTTCGTGGAAATTCGACGCCATTTGACAATTGACAGATTTCTACCACCCCCGCCATTATATTTCCGTTTCCGATTCCCACCATTTTAGAATATTGTCAAAGATTTTTTTATATTCTTGATAAATTGACAGATGTTTTTTTGGCGTGTTTTTAGAGTTCAAATCGATAGACATTTTGCATAATTTTACTCAGACTTGACGCAGCTAGGTTATTAACGATCTAAACATGGCAGCATCGAAATTTTTTACTCTGAATAAAACCATTTTTTAAAGACTTACATTTTTTATTACTTTATCATATATTTACAACTTTACATAACATAAATCATAGTTTTTTTGTTATAAATCTAAAGGTACAATCACACAAAATGCAAATACAATAGATATGGCACATTAAGTTTACTTCACATTTTTTTATAATTCTTAGTAAGTTTATTATATCAAAATGTACTTTAATTTTCTAATTTACAATAGATACGTACTGAGATTTAGGTACTAGAGAGAACAATAGTGACTAGAAAATTTATTTTAGAAATAGAAAAATCATTACAATTTTACAACCTTTCAAGAAAAACATACTAAACAGTCGTGTATGCAATAGACTAGACAGAAACAGTCTTAATATACAAAATAAATAACAAAAAATAAATAATTATAGTAGAGAATACAGATTGTGTCTCAAGAATTATACATATACAGCTATTAACAATGAAATTGACTATCTAAAAAGACGTTTTTTATATTTCTGGAAAAAATATTGTAGGAGAAAAAGATACATCGTTGTATAATAAGTAAATAATTAATATGAGTAATTAAATAACAAATCAATAAATAATGTGGGCGTTATTTTAAAAGAAAATTAATTTTTCACATTATGGCAAAGGTTTTTTGAATTTGTTATAATATGGCGAATGCGCCAAGATACATCACCGTTTAACATATAATTTTAAATTCTATATCTAAATAAATAAAAACAAATAATAATGAGATGACGAATTTAGAATTATATGTATTTGTATAAGGAGTGTTTAAATTGCTGATGCAAGTTCTTTATGTTTTATTATTACGTCTGGTACTGTAGCATGGGTGCAGCTAAATTTGGATGGTGTGTGGAGTTCATTCTCAGAGCCGATAGGCTTTTATTGTACCATTCATCTTCAGCACTCATACCTGAAATAAGAAAAATGGTCAGTCATTTAATAAAAAAATATTTGCACAGAGTGTCCCAAATATGAGCCTCATTACTGGGTTCTTAGAAATTATAGAAGAGATACAGAGTTGGTTAAAGTTGTGTGATTGGATGATGATCAAAATGCCACATTAAAAGTTTATAAATGCGGAATACTTTCAAAGATTCATAACCACAATTTGACTCGAAATACCAAGTGTGTATAACCAAACCAAATATGCTAACGAGCCACCCTCGTTCCATTTGAAAAAATTGAGATATAATTATAAATACGATTTGGGCATCTTTTAACCGGCCAGGACAGGACACGAAAAACATTAGACGATCAAATACCTATATTTTTCCAAGACTCCTTGATTAAAAATTAGTGTTTTTATCATATAACCATGGTACTCTAGATTGAAATTTAAAATTTAATTTTTTATTAAGCAATAAGAATCTCAAAAATTGACATATGATATGTCATTCTATTCAGAATGTCATTTTCTATCGAATAAAGTAAAAAAATATCGAGGGTGCCATTTAAAAATCAAAAGTTCTAGTTATTTCCGGTGAAACAGGAAGTGACCAAAAGCAATTGAATACATCAATCAATCCTAATTTATGTCGTATACTAACATACCAAATTTGGTTTTTTTTTATCTAAAAAAATAAAAAAGTTATAGGGGTGAGCCACTTTTGAGACAAAATACGATTTTGCAAAGAAAGTATTTATCTATAGGATTATATGCATATTTATAAACCATTACTAAATTGGACTTGAAAAAAATGCAACATTTTTAATTTCGCCCTGTATTTCAGGATCTAAGAAGACTAGGACAAATCTGTGTGTAGCATTTAGTTTTATAAGAACAGTAGCAAAACCGCATTTTTGTATTTCTGCTCATAAACGAGAAACTCACCAAAATATACAAAAATGGGACACCCTGTACATATTTCCCATTCAATTTATTTTTAATAATTTTTACGACGTTTTATAATATCTACAGAGAAAAAACTTCTATTTCAGGATCGTATTTGTCTGGCTAAAATAGGAAAAAATATCGTGGCGCACAAAAAATGCAATTTTCCAGCAGGAAATTAGCTGGTTTCCTCCAAGAAACTCCAAGAAATTGGAAGACGCCTCTTTAAGACGTTCATTTCCGCTCAGCAAAGATCGTTTTGGTCACGGCCAAATAATTTTCAGATTGCGCTGGTTTACGTCTTCTTAACGTAAATGAACCAATATATCAAATATCCTTCATCATCATAAGATATATACTACGATATACTCAATATTTATTGTAATTAAAATAAAGGTTAATATCGAAATTAATAAAAATAATAATTTATTGTCTATTAACCTGCAAAGGAGCTTGGAACATCCCAAGGGGTCTCACTTGGGTAAAAAATGTACAGGGTGTAATTTTTATCAAAAACATGATGGTGAAAACTGCACAAATCGCACGTGGGTGAATTTTTACAAACTCTATATCTCGAAGAAGAATCGAGCAAAATATGGAGTGTGTTATATTTTTGGAAAGGTAATTTAAATTTAAATTCTTTTCAATGAATTAAAAATATACAAGGTCTCCCATATAAAAAATTCAATTTTTCTGTTGATAACTCTTAAATTATTAATTTGAAAAAAATTATACTTAAACCATTAAATTTTACGTAAAAAGGTGCTTTGGAAATGTTTTCATAAAAATACAAAATTTTCTATAGCATAAAAGTTACAGCGATTTGTTAAAAATGCACATTTTTGAAAAACACTCCGTAACTCCGTAATAGATATCGATTTGCGGTTTTCACCATTATGTTTTTGATAAAAATTGAGCTCCAGACACCGATATTAGTTTTCGTCGATCTCCTATAGAAAAGGGTGTTTTCTTTTAAAAGCGTCCATTTGATCCACCCTGTACATGTACTGCCAAAATATAATTTTACTGCCAAGAGACTGCCAATGACTTCGAAGAAGACTGCCTATGTCTACCATATAATTATAGTCGACTACCATAAGACTGATGCCAATAAATGCCAGCGACTGCCAAGAAAATGTACCGGGTGGCCAACTAAAAATGGACGTCGGCTGTATCTCAGAAACTACTTATCGTATATCTTTGGGAAAAAATTGTAATAAGTATTTTGTGATGGCCAATCAGAAACTAGAGTTTTTTCTCAAAAATATGCAGGTGAAGAGGTATTTTAAATATTACTATTGTAATCATTGTGAAAATTAGTCAGTATCAGACAGCCAATTTTGCGTGTTTTAGACAAGATGACAACCATATACTGTGCCTTTTCCCCGTCACATGCGAGTAGTCAGAACACGAGTATCGATAGTTTTTAAAAACGGAGCTGTAACGGTCCAGAATCTGATTTTCTGCGATACATGATTTGTCTCATTTTTTTTTGTTTTGTTTTTAGTAATATACAGGGTGTGTCAAAAAACATGTGCCATCTCTCGTTGGCAGATTCCTCACGTAAAAATAAGGCCTATTTTTCATATCAACATAGGTCCGATTCTGCTTTGTTTCGTAGCTACAGGGTGTTAAAGTCTAAATAATTTTATTATAATTTTCTTCCAAGTACTTTTGGTGAATGAAATTTTGGAGGTAAAAGTTACTATAAGTGTTACATATTTTAATGCTAAAAAAGTGTAAATAAATTCATCAGGGACGTGCAAATGGGTTATCACAGGAATATTTAAAAAAACATGTGGCGCCACTGACTTTTTTCTTTTGATATCAATAATGTGTAGGCCGTTTAATGCCAATTAAAAGTTATCTCTTGATATTTTGTCCAATTCGGCCTCCTTGACGAGATAAATACAATTTTATTAATAATTACAATTAATAAAATTAAAATAAAAATAAAATTAATAAATTTTATATTTTACCTAATTTATTGTTAAATGTTATTACTGTTAGTTATTATTACTATTAGTCCAATATACAGCAATTTCAAATTAAAAAATAATAGTACCCATTTAAGATAATTACAAAAACATAATTTTAAAAAGTTTTAACAGCCTCTAACTCTAAAACTATGCATTTCCATACCCATGATTATAGGAACGTTTTTTAAAAATTTTGGATGAGGAATCAATGAGTACTTATTTAAAACTTTTGCAAGTTAAAGATATTAAATTTTTTTAAAGTTACTATTAGACTTGGATCAAGGCAAATTAATAAAATTGCGTTTCTCTCATCAAGGAGGTAGATATCGACAAAATATCAAGATTCGAGTGAATATCATTAAACTGCTTACACTATTTTGTAACATGAGAAAAAAAGTCAGTGGCGTACATGCTTTTATTAGAAAAATATTCCAGTGATAACCCATATGCACGTCCCTGGTGAATATGTCGGCACTTTTTTAGCTTTAAAATATGTCGCATTTATAGTTACTTTTACTATCAAAATTTCATTCGAAATGCTAAAAGTACTTAGAAGAAAATTAAAATAAATCAAAAAAAATATTAAGATTTTCACACCCTGTAGCTACGAATCAAAGCAGAATCGGACCTATATTGATATGAAAAATTAATCTTATTTTTACGGGGTTAATCTCCCGACGAGATATGGCACAAAAACATGTGCCATATCTCGTATGTATATGGCACATGTTTTTTGAAACACCCTGTAAAACTTCAGTTACAATTTTCGGTAATTTTTTCATTTACTGTGCTTGTTATTTTTTTTAATGTTGAACAATAATACTTACTCATTGCATCTTGCCGCATTCCTGCCACCGATGACATATTTGTGCTATGTGTCATTGAAAACGACTGAGCCATTCCAGGGTAGGAACTAGTTGTCATCTGAAAGAAATAAAATTATTAAAATAATGCACTTTTAATTGATCTTTTAAAAAAATACTGTGTGTTCTTGTAGAAGTTATACATTTATACATTTTAGGTATATAGTTTTTCTTTATACTTTTTGTTACTTTTTTGCTTTAGAAAACGGGGGAAGATCGAATAAAAATGGCGTCAACGATGGCTATGAAATGAAGATCGCTGTCATTTTATATGTAAAATTATATGGGAAATGTCATCGATCGTCATTTCCAAGCCAACTGGACGCCGTTTTTTTTTTCGATCATACGGTATAACCCCTGACACATTAAGCATATTTTGTTGATTAGGCATATTTTTTTATGAATAAAACTGACAAGCTGGTTTGTGTTTAGATTCTAAGCAGTAGCATTTTACAATAAATAACTTTTATCCGCAATAATGGAAGCTTAAAGGAAGTTTTGAACACCCATATGAAGCGTTTAGAGTTATATGTTTTCCACTATACACTTATAATAATTAATTTACTGTTGTTTCCTAAAATATTTTGATTAAAAGAAAATATGTAAAACTGGGCAACGCGGTGCCGGTCAAGTTTAATCACGTGACTAAAAGTATATGACAATATATTGTAAACGCAAAACTTTTTCCGATGCACGTCATCAGTCATATCGACATTGACACAAGTTTATAAACCTGACTAAATGAAATTTTGGCAAAAATGTTTAAATTCGTTGTATAATTTAAGATACCCAGCAGCTCTTCATTTAATTTATTGAGCAAATGATTGTAACAGATATTTTATTTGGATTAAAGCTGCAAAAATTAGTTTAAACCAAATTTTATTATCGCTATGTTGGTCACATTTCGCCGTTTTCAGCAAGGTTGTCGCTTATTATTTGACAATTATCTAATGTCAGTCATTATTTTGTATAATATCGTGTTGTTGTTGAATCTTTGTGAGTAATTCTCGTTTTCTTGCCTATTTTCATAGTCTTTTTTTAAAAATTGTACTTTTAAGCACAAACTAAATTTTCGAGTTATTGTATTGCATTTCTTGAAATTGTGTGTTGAAAATATGCCGAAGCATTTAAACAGTCGAAGCAAAGAGCTTGTAGCTTCCCTGATAAACTATTATGAACGAGAACAACGTGACAATAAAGGTCCTTTTACCCTTGACTGCAGTTAGAGAAGTAAGTTTGAATGATAAGCACATTACAACACTTTCAACAAGTTATTTCTACGTTAGTTATTATTAAATTCTGTGAATATAAGCTTGTGCATTAATATCACCCTCTTACTTGTTTTACAACTTATGACGTTGTAAGATGTACAGGGTGGGTCAAATTCGACGCTTTTAAATGGAAACACCCTTTTCTACAGGAGATAGACAAAAACTAATATCGGTGTCTGGAGCTCAATTTTTGTCAAAAACATGATGGTGAAAACCGCATATCGATATCTGTTACCGTTTCGGAGTTTTTCAAAAATATGCATTTTTAATAAATCGCTGTAACTTTTTGCTATGGAAAATTTTCTATTTTTATGAAAACATTTTCAAAGTACCTTTTTACGTAGAATTTAATGGTTTTAGTATAATTTTTTTAAAATTAATAATTTAAGAATTATCAACAGAAAATTTGATTTTTTATATGGGACACCCTGTATATTTTTAATATATTGAAAAGAATTTAAATTACCTTTCCAAAAATATAACACACCCCATATAAAAATGCGCCCGCTTTAAATAAGTAGGCTTTGAACGGTACCGGCTGTAATGCAAAACAAATTCTAGCTGTGAGCATCAATTAAAACGAAAATAATATTTGCTATGAGAGATGCAGAATTTTATAACAATTTAAAATATATTTAACCAACATCAACACATTTAAACTATATCTAATAACAATAAAAATAAATAGCAAACCAAGACATGATATTTTGCTACAGGTGTTCGACATATCGACCGTCTTCTGTTATGGACAGACGGGGCAGTTTTTGAACATTTCTCGCGGAATTCATTAACACAGTAGGGGTGAAAGATACCCTCTCATAACTGCTAAGTATTTCTAATTCTTGTCTAGATTATACGGAAGAATAAGGAACATTTATTCTTCCGCAAATATATCCATAGGATTAGATCCATGGGCACTAAGTCAGGCGGCCTCGACGGCCAACATCTTGATTGGATCTTGGTTAGCTCTTCAATTATTCTTGAAATTGGCTGCAAAAATTTGCTGATCTTCAGCGTTCAGAGGCGGTGCGTCGTCTTGCTGGAAAAATATGTTTTCGAGTTCCATTAAGGGCATATCATCAATAAGGGGTCCAAAGCCTAATAGTTAAAAGTGGCGAACTTTTAAAAATTCTATATTTCGAAGGGGATTATAACAAAATATCAAGTGTGCTATATTTTTGGAAAGGTAATTTTAAATTCTTTTCAGTTCATTAAAAACATAGAGGGTGTCCCAATTTAAAATAGGTGTCCCTATTTTAAAAAACACCCCGTAACACCGAAACGGTAACAGATATTGATGTGCGGTTTTCACCATCATGTTTTTGATTAAAATTGAGCTCCAGACACCAATATTCGTTTTCGTCTATCTCCTATAGAAAAGGGTGTTTCCATTTAAAAGCGTTGAATTTGACCCACCCTGTACATCAATAAATAAATAAATAACCCATAACGCTTAGAATAATATTGTTGCGGACCCGTGTGGACTCGACCTAACCTAACTATATGTCCAGCCACTGTTCCGCCCTCAAATGGCCTTAACATCGCATTAAGGAATAGACACCGTAATGATTCATTCGAATGTTCGAGAAAAAACGAGTTCCACTGGAATGGAGTAGTACATATCAGAACATTCGAAACCTTCTCTATGCACCTAATGATTTATGGACTATTCGAGAAACTCTTTAGTTGTGGGTATAAAATCCGCCGGCTGGAGCCTCAGGAGGACAGACATAAATAGACGAGTACAGTTGACTTTCTAGATAAATAGTTATATATCGTTTGTAAATAGTTCTTTAGTCTTTTATCGTTATTGTTTTTGTTAATTAGTGTTAAATAAATTGTGACTTTCTATCCACACGGAGCCGACGAAAAACGTAACAATATTCATAATGGACCAGTTTCTACCAATCTGTAATATGTAAAATAAGCTATAAAAAAAGATAAATCAATAAACCTAAAGATCTTTAAAAATGATAAAATAAATATATTGTTTATCACTTTTAAATTAAGATTCATCTTATAAATCCATCACAATCTGGCAGCGCTGTCGCCATCGCTTGTCACTCAAAGTTGATCACGTGCATCGGAAATTGTTTTGCAATTACCATATTATGTAATATTTCAATTGTGATTTTCTTGGGTATAGTTTTTTTTTTATTAAAAATTAAATAATTTCTGAGTGTTTTTAAATCACTTATTTGCCGACGGCGACGCGACGTTTTGATTTTTTTATGCAAATCTTTCTCAAGGCATCACAGATATTGTTTCGGCCGTTGAATTCTTATATTAGTTAGGAATAGAATATAAGAATATACTGTATCAAGAATATCACCACAATTTCGCTGACCAAATCGGTCAACATTTCCGCTGGTGCATGATAATAAAAAAACGAAAGATCTACATAACTTTTTTAATAATTCTAGACATTAATAACTCTTATTTTTGGTAGGCAGAAAAACATAGAAATGCTCCCTGCCGAAGCCGACGACGCAGAACGATTAAAGCGGCAATCTTCATAATATGTGTAAATTGAAATTAAACGCGCGGAATTAAACGAAGCTGCAGGTAAACGCATTAGGGCGGATTAGGCGAGGTCAAGCAGGTTGCCTGGCAATTAGTTTAGCGCGACCGCGTTTCCGCCGCTCGGCTGCTGCCGACGCTGACGACGTCGGAGATGTCCGTCGCGACGCCGAGGAGGAGGCGTCGGCACGCCAAAGGTATGCAAATGGCCGGCGCGGTCGAGTTATCGGTTGGGCAGGGGGTTCGTTTTTCGAACGGAAGTCTAAGTGGCCGTGGAATAAATTGATGCTGATTTCTCGTTGCCTCTGTTCCAATGGATTATCTAATATACATATTCTTACAGCTGGTTTAGACTCTACTTATATACCCTCAGATGCAAAAAAAACGCAACGGATAAATTTTTGGTCAAATTTAAAGTGTTATATTTTTGTAATTTTTAGCCCTATTTTCATGATTTTTTTAGCAAGCTATATATACCTAATGATATGAACTTTAATTCGTAAACACAGTTTTTTATAATCTTTAATATTTGGCATATTATAAAGGGTTAATCGAGGGGTTGTTTTTTACCCTAATTTTAAAACACCCTGTGCGATAATTTCGCGTGTCAAATATTCTAAATTATAATTTTACGGTCAGAACCATACATGCTTTGGTTAATTTTTAACAGCGAAATGCACGGATCACGATCAATTTGCAATTTTTCAATTATCATTACTTCTTGTTGTAATTTTTTAATGCGACGGGCTGGTTTTGGTGGCTATTGTCGTAACGCCATAATACGCTGCATTGGATACTCTATACTAAATAAAAAAAACGTTAAAAACCAACGATACAGTTCGGGTTTTAATAAACATTAATAACGATAACAGAACTAGCGATATTAAAGAAAAAATCTGTAATACTCAAGTATACAAACAGAAAACAAAAATTGTAAAAAATACCCTAATACTTTGTATTCCATCCCTTAGCTGCTATAACTGCCTGTATACGTCCGTTCATACTGTCATTGGGGCTGCATATATCATATTGCTTTATGTTTTCCTATTCTTCTTTAAGGACCAAGTAAAGCTCAGTTAATGAAGCTGGTAACGTTTCGCGACCTCTAACCCTTTTACCAAGTATTTCCCAAATGTCGAACATGACGGGCAGTTCATAGTAGTGTATAGTTCACAATAATCACAAAGCCGCCTTGTCATATTGAAAAATAACTTCAAAAAGAAATGATAATTGAAAAGAATTGCAAATTGTTGGTGGCAAGTTCATTTCGCTCTTAAAAATTAACCAAAGTATGTATTGACATTATCCAAAAAACAAAATGCTCAGGAGACATGGTTCTGACCGTAAAATTATAATTTAGAAAAATTAACAGGCGAAATTATTGCACAGGGTATTTTAAAGTTAAGGTAAAAAAACAACCCCTCGATTAACCCTGTATAATATGCCAAATACTATACTAAGTTTATAAAAAAAACTGAGTATACGAATTAAAGTTGATATAATTATATACAACTTGCTGAAAAATTCATAAAAATATAGTTAAAAATAACAAAAATATAACACCAATTTGACCAAATTTTTCTCCGTTGTGTTTTTTTTTGCATCTGAGATCTGAGTGTACAAGCGGTACAGATTCCACGTGAACTTGACGAGTATAGTACCGCAAAATACACTCCGCTAGAGGTGGAAATTCTAGTTCCTTGGGAGGGAGGGAGTTCTAGATGTATTTCTAACATTTAATTTTTTGAATTATCTTATTATCTCTATTCTTCTATGAGCTACACATTTTTAAATAAAGTACTGATATGTTTACAATCTTGAATTTGTTGGAGCTCTCAACCGTTATATTGAGAATGTCCTCCAAGAACTCACCGTTATATTTGCTCCTCTCATTGTAAATCAGTTCATACTGATGCATGATAATGCAGGCCTCACGTTGCGCGGGGTAACGAGTTAGGAGAACGAGTAGTTAACGAGTACCTGGATGAGGTTGGACTACGAAGATGCAATGGACTTCTTGTAGTCCCGACCTCAATACAATCGAACATTTGTGCGATGAACTTAAAAGAGCTGTTCGTTGTCGTCCTATTTCATCACAAACTTTACAACAGCTATGATAACAGCATTAACTGATATTTAGTAGCTCTTGTAAAGAGTTTCCTTGATCTCTAGCTGATAGCTTATTCATTCGATACGACCACAGATTAGGTATCCTATAAGTATACAGATAAAAATGTTGTCTCTAATTCGAGGGACAAAAATTGTTTTTTCTTGTGCGCAAAAATAAACTCCCGTTTAAACAGCGTAATGACTGGGCCGGTCACAAGGCCGGTCAGGCGCTGTGCACAATTTTAGAGGCCATAAGTGGGTGTGCGTGTGCGCAAACTAGTAACCTAACTAGTGCGCGACTCCAACAATTGGAACCAGGAAAAACAATGCTTTTGACGATAAGTTTATAATCTGTATAATCTGTAACTGTCTGATATGACGAAGACCTCGAGCTGTTATTGCTGCGAGAGGTGGACATATACGACAAATTTTTATAAAATTATTGTTTTTGTCAATAAAAAATCTCTGAAATCAATACTTTACTTAAAAATGGGTAGCTCATAAAAAAGTAGAGATAATGAAATAATTCAAAAAATGAAATGTTAGGAATTCAACTTCGATTAAAGGAAAGTGTTTTTTATATCAAAAATTCCCGTCTCATTTTTTCCACAAGGTGTCTTGAATGTATTGCAAAATACAACGTTTTGATTTACCCCGGTATACACCGACCTAACCGAAGAATATAAGCCATTACATAATCATAAAAATCGGATTACAAAATAAAAAGTTATGAAACATCAAACTTTTTTTAGAGACCCCTTTTTGTTAGTTTAATGACTAAAAAATAAAATCTGATTTTAGAGACAGTGACCACAACTGAGAGAACCCATTAATTGGACATCAAAGCGCCTCAAAGAACTTACACGATCCTCATGTGCTCTGTATACTATGTATGACAGAAACAGAAAAAGTGTTTGAGTAAAACAGGAAAAGATAAAAAAATATGCAAAATATAGTGTGTAGTTATTTTACCAATGGATCAAGTTCCAAGCTTATTTTTATTTATTAAAACGTTTAAAATAAAAATATTAAAAACACTAATTGATTAAATGTACTGAATTTTACTAACGAAACATTTGTGTATCGACCGTTTCTATGAATAAAAGAAAAAATTCAAACAATAGCAAAAACGAAAGTATTTGTTTAAAATGAATACCCAAATGTATAAATAAGTCGCTATCCTAACTTTTACTTTCAAATATCTTAAAATGTGTTTTGTGTTTGCTTAATCGTAGTTTATTATATTAATATATTACTTCTTCAGGCTTCTGTTCTTTACTTGCTGAATTTTCTGCATTAGAGTAAAGTTATTTTCTCTTTTTATATCCCTTACCTGTGGATATCTATTGATCGCAGTTGGATGTGGATACGGTTGATATCCCCTAGCAGCACCTGGATAGATATTCCTCATCATAGCACCATTACATCCAGGAAGAACACTTGGTGCAAGGGCTTTTTGCAGCTGTTTCTCCTGCTTACGATATTTGGCTCTGCGATTTTGAAACCAAACCTGTAATAAGAAAAAAATAAAATTTTAATTCTTCCAACAAATTTTTATTCAGACAATATTACTCGTTGATCACATAGATATTTGCTACAACACAAAGAAGTGCAGTGTTTTACTATTTATGTAAGCTTTATTTTTTTAAGTCACTGTTTTATTTTCTGGGAGATTTGGCTTATATCCTGGACTATTGTATTTGATTCTGTATATCCATTAGCTCAAAAAGTAGTTGTTTTGAGATATTAACACCATAATCTAAGAGCATGTGAGACGCATTTTCTTATTTATAATATTAATTTGACGACATTTTGTATTAGAGTATACAGGGTGTTCCTTAATGACATGCTAATATTTAAGGAGGTGATTCTTGGACCAAGGAAGAAAAAAACTTCATATGAATATATGTCCTGATCTTCTTAAATTTTTAGATACAGGGTGGTAAAATTTTCTATTTTTTTTTCCAAATTATCTCTGACGGTATATTTGATATACGTCTCCCATGCATGTGTAAACATCTTAAATTTTTAGATACAGGGTGGTAAATTTTCTAATTTTTTTTTCAAAATATCTTTGATGGTATATTTGATATACGTCTTCCATGCATCAAAATGCTTATTTTGATATACAAAAAAATTGTTTCATTTCGTAATTTTCTTCCATCTGATGCAGAAATGATTTCCACACAACAGTCACCGCATCGTATTTTCAGCGATTTGACCCTGAAATAAACAGACTTTAATTTTTTAAGCAAAAGCTATGCGTCAGACCAAAAATATCAAGAGACAAAAAATGCTTAGAAAAGAATGGAGATTTTGAAAATATTTTTTTTATAAAGATATCTGTATTAAAAAAAGTTTTCTTTTAGAAAAATTTACCACCCTGTATCTCAGAAATTAAAATGTTTAGAACATACATTTATATGAAGTTTTTCTCTAATAAAATAGGTCCAAGAATCACGCCTTTAAATATTAGCATGTCATTCCGGAACACCCTGTATATGTAAATAAATCTGCTGTATGCACAAAAATACCACGGTTTGATAATATACTTGCCACATATTATATTTTAGAGCTTTCTTGCTTTTTATTTGTGTGTTTATTGCATTGTAATATTGTTTTCAAAGAACAACTGTTTTGAATCTTAATATCATAATGTTTCAGTTCAAGTTAGTAATTTTTTTATCGATAAAATTATTTTGAATGTAGATCTTTATACTAAGGGCTGGCAAAGGTTAATCTTGGGTCGAGATTTCCGTATGTAAGAAGAGTACAATGCGTTTATAATGTACTGAACAAAGAGAGAACAGTAAACACGTTGCCAAACGTACGAAATAAACCGAGAAACTGCGCATATTGCTAAGAGACGTGGAAGGGGATAATATAGATTTGTCGCAGTCCACCGGACGACCCAATCAGTACCTCTGTCAGTACTTACAGTTCTAGAGAGTAGATCATGCGTTCAGCTTCACGATTTAATTACGTCTGGCGATACTTCATTTGTTTATTTATTAACGAGTCCTTGTAATTTTTCCTATAGCATGAACATTTTTAAGTGCAAGTTAGAAACACTTGCATTTTTGGTAAAAATAAGTGGAATTGAGTTGGTGATCGACAGTGGTTGCGCTATTAGAACTCTGAATTCAAAATGAATGGATATCTCAAAATCTATTAAAAATAATTGATTGTAGTTTTTCAAAATCTTTCTTAACATTTCTGCTATATTTTCTTCGCAGACAGTATGTGAAAATCTTTATAAATAAAACAGTTACACGATTGCTGAAAATTTCTATGCACTAAAAGTAAATGGATAGGTTGTTTAAAATTTTTGGAAAATGGAAAAAACAACCTTATCAATTTTTTCTCATTTAAACATATTGTAATAGATCGGATTTTCAAAAAAAAAAAAAGTTTCAATATCTAAAGTTGTTCTTAAGTTATAGCGTGTTATGTGTTAAAAAGTTAAGTTTTTAAATTATCGCGATTACTGATGTTTTATCGTTATAAAAAAAATGAACATCCTAACCATATCCTTATAATTCCAGATGATGATTAATTTCAGATGCTGAGACATATCTAATGATTTTATCTAGTTAACTTTTTTCGTCGTTTAAAAATAAGCGGTTTGCGATCGTGATTTTACTTTACCTGATAGGGGAAGGCGTACCGGCAACGCCGCAACAGTACACCGTCGCATTTCTCTCACTCCGACTTAATAAGATCCCTATGCGATTTACTTCCACACATGTAAGTACCGACCCAAGAGTAACAGTTGCCAGCACGGTACAATAAATTAATGTTATTATCATTGCCTGGAAACTTATATGGTGAAATTTTGATAAAATAATTTAGTACTCACTAAAAACACGGTACGTCGCTAGTGGTAGGAAAAATAATTTTTAGAGGTTACTAGTTTATTTGGTTGCCTGTGATATGCATATACAGGGTGTTTCCTAATTAATCTAAAAAATAAAAAATCGTTAGAAAACGGCTTAAGGCGGGCTCTTAATAAGTATATTTATTTTTTTCTCGGCAACCGTTTGATGAACAAGAAAAACTCAAAAGATCAATTTTGTTGTAAAGGATGGCCAGTCAAAGAAAAAATATATTTTCTTTAACAAAGCAGTAGTGTACCATTTATGTTAAGCAAAATATCGATTTTTTTTAAATTTTTAACACCCTGTAGATCAGAAAGGAAGTACTTTAGACCCAATGGTTATATAAAAATTGTTTTAAGAAGACATGAGGAATTACATCACAATTTTTTAGACTAATTAGAAAAAACCCTGTATATTGTCAACTTGACAATGATTGTTGATACATCAAAAAATACCTTTTCTGTGAAAAAAGCCCGATTTTCGCGGGAAAATTGTTGGTTTTTATTGAATTTGGGCCTGCGTCTGCAAATACCGGTATGTTTTTTAATATTCTATCTATCTAAATTTTAAATATCATAGTCAGAAATAGTTTTATTATTTATTAACTGTAAAAATGGTATACTTATAAGTTTTGTCAAATATTGTGATTTACTTTCTACCTTGTAATCAAAATTTATATTTAATAAACTGTAAAATATATATATTCTCTTATGTTTTATTAAAGTTACTCTGATATACTAATATATCAGTGTAACTGTAAAACTAAATCCTTTGAAATCAAATATAAACATAAAAAATATTTACAGTAGAAAAGGCGAAGGCGCTGGGTTAAACGTAGTCTCTACTAAGAACACGGAGGGGCGCTTTGACCCAAAATTTTACTATTAAGTTTCATATCTATCTTAATAGAAGATTATTTTCTTTTATCTATGGTTATTATGGAGATATCGGTCTGTGTATATTAGGTATAATCATATTTTATAAATTCAGTAGTAGGAGAGAGTACAAAAGTATAAATATCTAAAAAAGTAAAAAAAATGCCGAGCGTGCCATTTAAAAATCTAAAGTTGTAGTCATTTTTGGTGAAACAGGAAGTGACCACAAATAAATGAATCCGTCAATCAATCTTAAAATATAGGAAAAAAAATATATTACCTGGAACACATTTTCCTTAAGGGAATAAAATGCCCACTGGGTATTATCATTATATTTAATTATTAGAGTTTACTAAAATATCAATGCTGTTTTTTGACATTTTTAATACCGTATGATCGAATAAAAACGGCGTCAGCGATGGCTATGAAATGAATATCGATGAAACTTCCCATATAAATTTACATAACATAACATAAAATAACAGCGATCTTCACTTCATTGCCATCGCTGACGCCGTTTTTATTCAATCATACGGTCATTTAATTTGTTATTATGGTATTGCCTGAGGACCCACATTTTATTTTAGGTCTTTATTTAAATAAATATGACATGAACGTTGATAAAATTTATTTAAAATAGCAAGTATTTTTATTATTCCTATCATAATTTTTTAGTACATGATTCACATTTTTTTAAATTTAGATTTACAATGATATTGCGTAAGTAGGTAAATATATTTTATCTACAACCGTTTAGTTATAACGTTTTTACATCACTATTTTTTAAGTATTTCAGTTACGTTATGAGATTCATAACACAACTCGTGGTGTTATGAATCTATAACACAACTAGTTGCTATAATAATAAAAAACAACTACGAACATCTAAATATATTAACTTTTCCGGCAATAATGATTCCGCGGCACGTACTGCGGCAAGTTCTACATCTGAAGGGAGACTTTCGCAATCGCTCATCGTAATTTTTAAAATGATTTTTCTGAGCAAAAAGTTATGCAAAAAGTGCTCGCGTTTACTTGACAGGGCAAACTGACTTTTCAGCATAAATGTGACAAATGTCATAGTTAAAGGTGTTAAAGGTGGGCGACTAATAAACGAAAATTAAAACAGTATTTTCTTATTTATCGGTTGTAGATAAAACGTTGTACATGACACGTGCGTTTAAACATGATTACAACACTCGTGTGATTAGAACGACTCGCTCTACGACCTCGTCGTTCTAATCGTTCACACTCGTTGTTGTAATCATGTTCATGAACACACTTGTACTGTAAATAACTATTATAAAATTTAGTCTTAACGACTACAACAAAAAAAATCCAAAAACAAATTAGCCTCAGGTCAGTTTGTTCGACCCCATAGAGATTCGTGCAGGTCCAACAAACGAACGAACCAAAAAGACCCAAAAAAAAACGAGAAAGTACAAAAACCCGAAACAGACAAAAGACAAAGACGAGTAGTTTAGGCACGTTTTCTTCCGACGAACTGCTTCTCTCGCAGCCTTACGGGGTGGGTGGAGGCGACACGGCCACCCCAAAGGAGGGAGGCAACGCAGGGAGGGACCCTCGATTCCATCAAATGGATCCGTAACGAAGTTAGCCGTCCCTCCCAGGGATGAGCCGGGTTTTACTGGGGGGAGATTGGGGGAGAAAAAGAAGGACTAACCCCGTCGCCGAAGGGTGGACTGAGAGGAAGTGGCGCGTCTTAAAATATCCGTGGAATATTATTAGGGCGCGTA